CATGCATAGATTTGTCATGATTTTTGCAAAAAAAGAAAAAGAAAGAATGACAAAAAGAAGTAGTCTTTGCAGCTGCTCTCAGCTGATTCGTTTTTATTCATCTGTCCATCACAGAGTGCCTTAAGATATTATTGGTGTTCAGTCAAAAGATTTGACAGGGGACCATGAATATTTCACAAGGACATCTATTATAGGGGTAAAAAGGTGAACCCGTGTTCCCTACTTTGACATCGAGTACTGTGAAAGTCTTCAGCCAACCATCGTTTCTTTATATTTTGCTTCGACAATGAAAAACAGCTGCAGAGATTTATTATTGACACATGTGCAAACATAGAAACACAAAACATAAGACAAAAATGGAGTTTGTACACACAGCCTGAAATCTCGTAGGCAGCATTGCTGTGATTGCTTTAAGTAGTTCACCACTGGCTGAAATGCAGCCCCAAATCACGACAGAGCCTCCACCGTGTTATACAGATGGCTGTAGATGCTCACTGTGACCTCTCTCTCGATGGTCCTTAACTCATCAGCAGGACCGGTATCTGCTCCTTCGTGTAAGGACGAGCAGGATGAACACTGTGAGGTCACTGTGTGAATGTCCCTGACTAAACAATCAGAAACAGATTTCATGAGGGTGGCCTGAGGGCCCGATGTCCTCTAGTGGGCCCTGCAATCACTGCCCGGCAGCTGGGAGCCCAAATGGCATTTGCCTTAGAATACCAGAACTGACAGGTCCACCGCTGATGCCCCGTGCTTTTCACAGATGAGGGCACCCTGAGCATATCTGACAGATGTGAAGGGGTCTGGAGGGGTGAAGGGATGCACAGACTACTACCAGCTAGGCATTGGCACCCTGACTGCCATCAGGCATTAGAGTGAAATCCTTGGAGCCATGTCAGACGTTAAGCTGGTGCAGTGGGTCCTGGGTTCCTCCTGGTGCACAACAATGCTCAGAGTCATGTGGTCAGAGTATGCAGGCAGTTCCTGGAGAATGAAGGAATTGATATCATTGATTGACCCCCATGCTGGCCTGACCTAAATCCAAGAGAACAGCTCTGGGACATTATGTTTTCAACGCTGCCAGGTTGTACCTCAGACTATCCTGGAGCTCAGTGATGCCCTGCTCCAGATCCCCCAGAACACCTTCTGTCATCTCATTAGGAGCATGCAAGCGCATCTTCATTTAATATTTTGGCATAAAACCACAGTAACACAATAAGATGCATCAAATAATGCATATTCAATACATCTGTTTTTCCCCCATATCCCATGTCTGTTTATCTTGCTGCTTCATGCACCACTATGTCACTCTACCACTCTGCTCCCTGTGCTCTCACAATGACATCACCCATTCTTACATTACACATCCCTAACAGTCACAGTGGGAGCACCAGCTTCCCAGCAGGCCCCACATTAGATGGTCTACAATCAGTGACATCATGCACAAGCATCAAGCTCAATACCACGGGGAAATACACAAGAAGTGGGAGTGATCTCAGAGCCCCCAGGGCTTTTATTTATTTGTATCTCTTTTCATCTGGTATAAAGCAGGTTACATGACAGAAAGATATTAGCATCACATAAGGGAGTGACATTAAGTGATCTTGAGGATGTAAAAATGCTGTATTTCTTTTTTCCATCTGCTGTCACTTCTAACATAAAAATATCAGGTTACATTAAATGAGACATTTCTGTAGCCACGGATGATCAAGGCTATATCAAAGAAGACAATGCCTAAATGTGTCTACTGAAGCTTTTCCATTACATACACCATTCTCAGTGTTGCTTTTGTTAAATATATTTATATTTTGTTTATCAAGATATGCTGTATGTACCTTGATGATCCAAGGCAGCTTGTTGAAGCTTGACCTCTCTTGACACAGATAGTTTTTTTTCTTTTTTGGAAAGGTTGCTCCCACTTGAAGGTATTTAAATAGATTCAAAAGCTTGTTTGAAGATCTTCAAAGCAATGCACCAAACCATCGTAAACAAGCAGCTTACACCAAAGCATAAATCTTGGGTTTTTCTGCTCAGAAAAAAAGTGCACTTTACCCAAGCTGGCTAAACAATGTAACCCCCTTTCATGGTCACCAAAAGTTGTTAACGGTTTCTATCAGTTTTGTTTTATCCACGTGATGGAGGTAACACAGTTGCTGCCAGTTTTAAAGGTTATTAAAAAGCTTGCAGCTGCAGTTGGTTTGACGTCTGAAAAGTCCAAACCATGTTTCAGCTTGAGATTTCCACCTATTTTGTGATCTTTTCCCATCTAAACTGTATTAAACCTATAGGTGGCACAATGCTCCACAGTGTTATTAGAGTCCTCAGCGCTCGTAGTCCTTTGCATGACAGTCTCTTCCCTCTTGGGGTGGCTGTAGCTCAGGTTATAGATCAACTAATAGCCTTTCGCTAATCAGAAGGTTGGTCATTCGACCCTTAGCTGCTCCAGTATCCAGGAAGTCTAAATATCCTTGGGCAAAATACTAAACCCCAAGTTGCTCTCCAGTGACTTCATCACAGAGCAACTTGGGGTTGTAAATGTTAGAAGCAGTGTTGTAGAAAAAAGTGCTTGTGTGAATGTGGCATGAGTGAGTGCTGAGGTAGAGTAGAAAAGTGCTAGTATTCCTGATATGATATCAGAGCTCTTGTCTGTTACCTGTGTGTATGTTTCATTCTTCTTTTATCTGCAGGTTTGGTTTCACACCACATTTCTTCATTCACAGATTGTATTGCTGTATTATTCTGTGGTTGTGCGTGCATCTGAGCTCTGAAGTCCTCTTGTTAGTGATACTATTTTTGGAGATGCATTACTCCATTTATCTAGAATCTACTTTAAAGCTTTTCATAAAAAAAACTTGTATTATGTATCTGAAAACCTGTCTTTTTAACTTGACCTTTGTGAATTCTCTCTAAAAGCTGGAAATCAAATATAGGGAATCTTTGTTGTTTGTAATACCGAGCATGGTGCAGAATTTAAAGCTTCTTTATGCACTAAAGAACTCCTCTAACATATTCAAAGAAATAATTAAGCTGTGGTTTCGCTCCCAAAGGAATCCTCTGCAATAATATTCCTGACATTCCAGTTCATTTAGCGCTTGGCATCTGCACTTCTTTCTGATCATAGCAATCTCTGAGCTCAAGGAAGAAAAATCGCATTCAAAGAAATCTTTTATGGCAGTTTTGCTTATTACCCTCTTTTACAGCCTTTCAGGAAGCTCGTCTCGACACCTTTTTGTCCACTCCCAGCAGGGAGCATTAATAATCACCTCCATGCAACACTGGGACCATTGTCACAGAAGCAGCTCCAGCAAAGGGACCGTTAATGTCTCAAAGGAACCACTATTGACATCTTAGTGCTTTTGGAAGGATCTATTGGAGAGACAAAAATGCCTGTCTGTGAAAAAAATGCTCATCCTTGCAGGTTGCCAGTAAGTGTGCTGGGATGTCAAGATCCCTCACCTTTGGAGGTGGACCAGTGGATTAGTCAGTGGATTCAAATGGGAAGGAGGCTGAAGTGGGAATATTTGAGCTGAGTAAGTTTCAAATATAAATAACAATCGTGCACTTTTTATCCCCTTAACCATTGAATGGGGGTTTGGTATTATTAAGTATCTGACAGAGGGGGGTAAATTACATGAGGCTGGGGGAAAATACTACATTTCACAAGCGCTGTACTACAGTTTAATAAGGAGAGATCCTTCGGAAGAATTAAACATGATTCATTGATAGAATTCAAAATTCAGTTATTTGGCAATTAGACTCAGATGACCCATCATAGCAGAGCAGAATCCAGCACTAGGCATTAGGACAGGACACCCAGAAGTCTAGATGCTGGTGGTTGGTGGTGAAGATGAAGATGGAGGCTGGGCTGGAGCTCAAGAAATCACAGTCTGGAAAGGAGAATGACGTAAGAGCAGAGTGGATTTAACATACGCAGAGTGGAGGCTGATTGGCTCAAAGAAGGTGGGCAAGAGGGTGATTGGACTAGAGGAATGATGTCAGCACTGAGTTTGACAGCGTGGCAAACAGGAAGTGATATAAAGAAGTTAAGCATAAGGTTCATGTAAAAAAAAAAATCACAAAAGTCCAGAACCGGTAAAATTTTAAATCTAGACTATTTACTACTTTTGTATGGACAGAAATGTAGCCAATGACAGCATTTATAGCCCACATTCATTTATTATACCTATCACAGTATAGGCCCTTGAAATACACATGCACCACAGGTCACACTGTGAGACGTACAATACAGACAATCAATAAGAACTGAAAATTCAAACTGATCTCTCTTCACAAACTCATCTGAAGTTTAAAACAACCCCTGTTTGGGTGCTGTGGGTGTAGCAGATGCAGCACACTGGGCTGAGTGCACTCCTTAATGAATGAATTTCAATGACTAGCTACAGCCCACAGTGACGCTTTGCAACAGAAAGGGGCGCCCCCTGCTGTAAGGAGTCAGCGCCTCAATTAGCGACTCCTTCTTTACTGTCCAGTTGATGTGGGACCTTATTGCTCCACATTTCAGAGATGGATTAGGTTAATGGACCCCGCATTGACCCGCCTTCCCTCTGAGGGGTGCAGATATTACACAGCTGCTCCTTTTTTGGGGCCCTTAAATATAGATGGCTCCGTTTGCACTTTCTCTCAATTAAAGCTATATTGTTTTACAATAAAGAGTCCCCCGAGAAACCATATTTGCTAGTTTTCAGCCAAAGGTCATTAAATACTATAATACCTGGCGTAATCATGGCTGCATGAATATTGGGTTCATAATCTCTTGATATTGATTATCCTTCACTGTAACACTTGTGTCAGGCAGATGACTTTGCATGCAGTTTATTTTTGCTTGGATATTTTTATATCTTTATATTACTTTAAGTTGTTGAGGTTAAGAATTAACATGATGATAAATGGAGCATTTGGAGGTTTTGATTTTTTTTTTCCATCAGTGTCCCTTTAAGGCCACGCCCTCTGCACAGTCAGCAAATTGTTTGCCACAGCCACAGGTTTCTCTGTAATATCAGAACAGGAAGTCCAATTTAGACAAGCAATGGTAGACAGCACGAAACTCTTAAAACAGTCTGTAAAAATATAATGCAAACCAGGGGTAAGAGGTGTGGATGAGTAGTAGTAATCTGAATGTGCCACAGGAAAAGAAGAAGAAGAAGAAGTTGTTAGCCTGTCAAAATACTTTGCTTTCTTGTGTGCTAAGTTCAAATGATTCATTGGTGCTTTTACCCTAAAGCTACAGGTGCAGGTTTTTAGCATCTTTCATGCAGTCCTTAAAAAAGCCAAATGTGTGAAAGAATACATTGTGCTGGGTTTGTCTTCCTGCTCTCTGGGTAAGGTGTAGCTGACCAGAAGCAGGAGGACAGTGCTGGACCAAAGCTACAGGAGTCTGGTAAGATTTGCTAATGATTGTTGCCTCGACTGCCACATGGGAAGCAGGTAATGTTTAAGTTCAGCAAGTATTTATTTGTTCAGCCCCTCAGCCAAAACCAGCAACCGGTGGACTGCAGTAATGGGATATTTAACTTGATGGATTTGAGAGTAAGCTTGGCTGTACCTGAAGTGAAAGAGGTGATTTATTTCGATTGTTCAAACGACAGGAGTGTGTGTGTGTGTGTGTGCGCGCGCGCGCTTGGGGGTGGGGTCGGGGTCCTAAGCACCCCCTCTTATTAGGTGGTTATTTGCTGCCTTCATGTTCTTACTGTCCAATTCTGTTACTAGCACTAAGATGCTGACAGCCTTATGCCTCCAGCCTGATTTATCCTGATATATTGACCCTTTCTTGTGTCTGATCTTTAAAATATAATCTACCTAGTGGAGAAAGTCTTCCTGACATTCTTTTGGGACACACCTTTACAAATCACCATTAAAAACAGGGCCAACGGGTCCATGTTCTCTTTCATTTTACGAATTCGTATGTGCTATCTAAATGCTAATGAGCTAATTGATATTTGAAGGCATGAATAACGTCCCCCTCCCCAAAAAAGCCAGAAACTACAGTCTGCTGTCATCAAGATGTAAAGCCTGGAAACATTGTTGAGAGGATCGATTTGGAAGGGGTCGCTTAAAATGTTGGAGGGGGGGCATCAAAACAAGTCTTTCAAATGTTGTTTCCAGGATTTACACACTGATGACATTGAAGTTATGCTAATTATAAGTAGCCTCAGCCAGAAAACTGGAGCTACATCAAACTAAGCGATTTCCAGTGCTGCACGCCAACGTTACATCCCAGGAAATGTTGTTTTCCAAAATAAAAAAAAATGTATGTTCAGTAGCCCAGTGCTTGTTTAAGCATCATTAAAGGTGCTTTGTTGTTGTAGGTCCACATAAAGGAAAACTGACATTGTTCTGTGCTTGCAGGAAATGAAGCCTGGCGCGCACCGGCGGACGTCATTCACATCCTGACTGCTTACAGCTGTTTCTAATATGGAGTAATCTGCTCTCTAAAATATTTATTTGTTTCCTTTCTTTCAGTTCAGAGCCGTCACTGAAGCTGTCAGACCACCGGCGGATATCTCCCAATCTATTTTCCAGCTGTGAGGATTTCTTCCCGGAGCTGTACGCCAAAAGGCAAATTCATTTGCTCTTCTCACTGACACTCTGAGATTTTGTATCATCGGCATCACTCGGGTCACTCATCCATTTTTTTTTTCTTTACAGTCCAGCCATTTTTTGTTTTTTTGGGCTACACATGTTTCCCAATTTGTGAATTCACCCTGAGAACAGATCATACATTCGACACATAGAAGCAGCAACATGCTGAAATTTGAGCGACCTGACTTCAGTTTTTAATTTGTGAAATCCTTTTTATGTGGTTGATTCCCTGGTATGATGTCAAAAATGAAGATGCTGGAAAAGTTCATTAAGCCTCATGGCTTTTTTTTTATTTTTTATTTTTAAAGAAAATGTAAAAGCACTTGTGTGGTTGCAGGCTTGCTTGTTAATTTTTTTATTTTTATAGATTTGAAGACATTAGAAGTGAATCCAGTTTGTTACAGTGGGTCCTCAGTCACAACTGGGGCTGGGGTGGTTGATGCAAAGTTCTCATGTTATTTCCTGTGTCTAACAACAACAAATACAAATTTGGAGAGATGCTATATTCTGAAGGCTGCCTTTTTTTTCATAGGAGTTTGTGCATCCCTCTTTATTTGTTTTTGAGGTGAGGACAGTGATGTAGGTACCATCAATTCTGATAAAATGTCTGTTGTCACAGCTGATGACACACACATGACTAACACTAACATGTGTTTGAGTTTTTTACATCCTATTAAGAGACTACACTAAACTCCATTTATTATCTGGCATCTACTGGACATACACATAAAGCAAAATGCCCTGGTATGCATGTACATCTGTGTGTCAGGTCCTCTTGTGTTTTGCTAGGAGTTACATTATATACTGTGCCTGTTTGAAACTGTCTGACCGCCTAAAAGCACCGATCTCCCCTCTGATTGCATTTACGTTAGCCTAACTGTTGCTCCACCCTCTGAAAGTCGACAAAGAAGGTATGAGATAACTCCTGCTGTAGAGTGTGCTTCACTAGTGCACATCCAGTAAGGTAAAAATTACGGTAATGTCAGTATGTCTTTAAAATAAAATATGAAAAAGTGCCGGGGGAGCCCCAATTAACGCCCACATCTGTTTCTAACCTGTAGGTCGAGGGTTGAGGGCTGACCGTTGACTGGAGGGCTCAGAGTCAGACGGCATACAGGCTGCCTTTACAGTCACTGTGTTAGAGCAGTGCGCTGTCCGCGGTGCTGAAACCTGCTGATGAACGCGGGGATTCGCTTTCAGCACCAGTGCAAACGGGGAAATGGCGCAGACAGTAGCAGGGTGAGAACGAGTGCGGCTGGCCTGCTAGAGAGTGGAGGGGAAATGCGTTTCGGAGTAGTTTTATTGTGTCTGCGAGGGCTGGAGTGGAATAAAGAAAAGAGAGAGAAAAAAAAACGAGCCGTTTGCAACACGTGAAAGCAGCACACGTCTCTTACATGACTTCAGTAAGGTCGCTGATTCTTAGATGATGGTGACAGTGTGGTGATCTGCTGTTAAACAAATTTCTCAGGTTTCTTTCTTTGCTTTTTGTTCTTCCTTTTTTGGTTTTGTTTTGTTAAGGGGGGGCAAAAGAGCGGACTATGCTACTCTCGAGTCGTGGTGTTATTCCCGCCCGCTCCACAGACCCATACCACGGCAAAAAGGCGATGTTTGACTTCAAATGCCATATTTAGGAAAAATGCTCGGTCGCTTTGAGTGACTGGGGCGAGGACGAATGGCGTCTTGTGATCTGGGAAGAGACGCTCGAGCTCAGTGAGGAACGCCTCGGAGCCAATAGCATTGGAGGGCTTGTGCACGCATAAGCGGTGGATGGAGCTTCTCCGGGTATACTTCCGCGTCCAATGCATGTTCATGTGTAGGTTGAATGGATGAAACGGGGAGTGCGGAGAGGTATAGGCATGCTGTGATACGGCCCTATATATTTGCCGGCAGGACTATCTTCCTTTTAAAGAGAACCTCCTCCGTGCATTGGCTTCCACTCAGTGATGTCGCGTATTTGTGTGGCGCACCTGTAAAGAGCGAGACAGGCAGAAGCCGGCTTTTTTAATTATTTGATTCCTTTTCTTTCTTCTGTTATCTTTTTTTCCCTTTTGTTTCATGCATTTGCTGAAAGGAACTCATTTCTGTGTTTTGATTTAATAAATATTTCATTTCCCTCATTTTATCTTGTTTGTGTTGGCTTTTTATGTTCCCAAGTTTGAACTAAAGAGAGCGGAATTCGTCATTTTACACGCTATTGGCCAGGTGTTTTCATTCAGAGATTGTTTGCCTAAGGACGTCCCTAACTTTCATTTGTAGAAACGGTAAGATATTTTTTACACATTTGCTCATTCACCTGAAACATGTGAAATCGATTTCTTCTTTTTATTATTATTACTAAGCCTGTTTCTGTTCGCTGAGGACAGTGTGTAGAGCAGATCATGCATTCACTGTAGTCTCAGGCTGTCTTATTGCATGCAGACGCGATGGGGAAAGTCGCCGTGATGCATTCATGTTTCCCCACTCAGGGCTGATTTTCAACTCTTGAATCGCGGTGGCTTGGCATATAGGAGAGACTTACAACAGGCTTTCTCCGCACATGTGCTCAATTTTTTTTCTCTCCTTCTACCCCCCCCCTCGACATGCATGGACGCACTATTGCTCTAGTGTGCAGAAATACAGGCCTTGTAGAGAGCTGAAACGTGGGCTCCGCATAGTAGTCGTTACACTGTATCCAAAGGTAGAAATGTGGGGTGTGTTAGACTGATGTTACATATAGAAATTAATATTACTGGATACATGATGGAGCCAGTAAACAAACTAACAAAATTTAAGCTGTTTGATCTTCGACTTGAGCTCTTTCATTAATATAAAAACTTGCGATTTTATTTAAGCTCTAAATTATAAAAGAGAAAAAAGCGGGTCCAAATACAAATGAGATTTAAAATTAATGAGTGGTGGCTTTATTTTTTCTGTCTTTCTAATTTAATCGTAAGATGGTCTGTAAGGTTTAAGATGCAGCGTAACTGCAAAAAGACCAATGCTATATAGGTTAAGTGCAGCCGGGTGTTGTGCTACTTAGAGTTGCCGGATGAAGTTCTGCTATCACATGCATATTCCTATGCTATTTTTGAATTTCCATGCAGCGCTTATTTGTGAAGAATACAGGAGCTTAGCTACTCGTCCCAATTTTTTAGAAAAAACAAACACAAAAACCCAAAGCGATCCTAACCTTTGTCAGCATTCCTGTCTTTTGCCCTTTTTTGTCTTTAAACATAGGCCACCTATATATTAATTCCATGCCCATATGTTTGCTCTGCATGGATAACAATGGAGATGCTGAAAACTTAAAATATATATAAAATGTTTATGTTCACGTCATGCTGGAAAAGGCTATCTGTTAAAATTAGCTGATTACCCTACAAAGAACCCTAGTGGCACAATGTTGTTTTTGTTTATTTGGTTTTATTTTATTTTGGAGCTGTCGCTATTTCTTAGTTGTAATTCTCCTCTGTGCTGAGCGCTGTTTAAAGCACCAGCCTACACCTGCAGCAAATCAATTAATCGTCTATTTCCGGTATAGAGAGGGTGGGTCTGCGCTGATTGGCCAAAAGTCTGATTAATTTATTTAGGGTGGCTGGGTTCCCGCCACCGCTCCTTATTCTGCTGCGCAAAGACTGTGACCAGGTTTGATGTCTGCAGGTTGTACCGCAATAAATTCCCGCGACGCCGATTCAACACATCAAGGTAAGACAAGTCAAAGTGTTAGCGTGCTTAAAAACAAAGAAATACTAACTGTAAAAAGGGGTCAGAGCTGTTAGCTAGGCCAGACATGCTAGCTGAGCGCCATTAGAAGTAGTTTTGACTTGAGTAAACTTTGCCTCTTGTAACCTAACCTTAAAGCTTCTTAAGTTAGTGGGGTAACCTAATTAGTTTGGTCTACAAAATAAAATTGTGTGACCAAAAAAAAAAAGACTCTGGCAGAGGTTGTGTTAGCTAAACCCGCTCGGCTAAACCACAATTAGCAGAAAATGGAAGTTTCACCCGGATTAAACGCCCCACCTCTAACCGCTTTCTTTCGTAGCGTAATCTGTAAGTAGTCACGGTCTTTAATTGGATGAGCTGGGTTTCAGCACCGCCACAGGTGTCACAAATTAACCTAACATCACTGGGTTGCGTTCACTTGTTCCCGGTGAGATGGCTTCACTTCACTGTAGAAATGCTTTACTAACAGGAATTTAAGTTCAGTTGGTTTTAACAGTGGCCTTTGCCTATAAACACACAAAGCCTAAAAACGTAACCCCCCGTCACCCATTGATTTTGGGATTTTTTTTTTTCCGTATCTAAGTGACTTATAATAATATAAGTATATTTTTTTACACAGGCAAATTGCTAGCTGTAAGGAGTCCTATGTATTTTCAGAGTGATTTAATTATTGCCTGATCTCATTGCTAGTAAACCTTGGATTATTTTTGGGTGATACGCCGGTCAAAGTAAAGAGCCTGGTAATTTTGTCTTTGTAAGCTTGACCTGTTAAGACTTGGAATTGCGGCAAATGCGTTTTCACTCTACTTTGTACTTTGTGTGGCCTTGAATATTGATTGAGTGAATCTGTCGAAGCCACAGGCATCGTGGTGAGTAACCTTCAGCTGTGAGGTCATGAAAAGATTACATATCATGGAGTCAGCAGCTAAGAGCCTGACCGGGTAATTTACCAGAAATGCAGGACATCTGTGGCTAGGGGAATAGTCAAAAGGAAAGTGGCATCTTGAAGCTTTCAGTTTTTGTTTTTTTGTTTTCCTTTTTTAAATTTTTGATTTTTTATAAAAAGGAGGTCCTTAGTGATTATTAAACCTTAAATGCGATTAACAGATGAAAAATCAGTTGTCTATGCTGCTTTTTGTCTGGGCATCCGAATAAATGCAGTACTACAAAATAATGAAACGCTGTGGGGGGGAATTCATAATTTCTCTAACAGAAATGCTTCTCCCCAATCATGCTGCGTTTTATTTTGTTCTTAGTTGTACTGGCTGTAAGAACACTGTTCGCTGCACAGTGATTGCACTTAATTTTTCTGATATCAGTGGTGTTGAACACCGCTCAGGGGATATTAATTCAGATGAAGTGTCACGGCAGATCTAATCATAGGTATGTAAAAGATAGCTGCTGCTTTTAGGCATTTTCCCCCTTCCTCTCTGTTCGTGCAACGTCCACAGCTTCAGCAGCCTTCCTGAGGACAAGAGATAAGAGCGGTTGTCTTTATGTATTATTGAGCCCCCACGTCTGCCTTTCTAAATAAAGGCTGCTGACAGAGTGACTAAAATGCAGGACAGTGAGTGAACTTCCAAAGGCCACATATCACTGTGCTCTGCACGGCGATGTGTGCTGCTGTCAGAACTGGGTTAGTATACAGCATGTAGCTTTGAGGAGAAAAGCAATTTTGCCCTCTTTGTCCTCCTTAAATGTCCGTCCCATCCCCCTTCCATGACTTCGTTGCCTAACGCCCCCCCCCCATTACAAACCCCCTTGTTGCTGAGACAGGCTAAGGCTCTGTGGCTTTTGCACTTACTGTGTGTTGGCCACAGGGTGGCCCTCCCCAGTATGTGCAGGTCATTACTGGAGATCAGCAATGCATTGTCCTTGAACTCTGTTACTGCTTTGTCAGGCCTGGATACAGTAGGTGGGGTTTTTGTGTGTGTTGAGTGCTTTATGTAATTTAACTGTATTGTCTGCAGGCCTGTTTCTGGTGGTGGAAATATGCCTGGTTTTGTGTTAGACGTGTGATTTGGATATTGGTGAACTGGATTCATGAAGGATTTTTTTGTTTAATTAAAGTGTTGTTTTTTTTACTCTTAGTGGTTTTAAGTACCGACTTGGATTTCAGCAGTCTCACTAGTATGTGTGTGGTTTTTCTTTAATTTACAAGTATCATGGTGGATTATTCTTGGAGCACAGGAACAGTTTTTCTTAATAATGACTTGCACACTTTAAAATATAATGGCAGATAGTCCTATTATAGTACTGTATATTTTGTTACAGGAGGTTAGACTAATTCCACTCGTTCAACAATTATAAAATTGTCAAACTAAATTAAAGAGTCAAATGGTAATCTGTACCTTGTATAAATGTTTTATTGTACTGCTTTTATTGTACGGCTGCACGTCAGCTATCATTTTTTTTCTAATTTCATACCTAAAGATAGTAATAACAGACTGGCAAATATGAAGAATCATAAGCATCGACATATTGATGTTTGTACTCTAGCTCTCCAGCAGCACAGAGCATGAAATATAAAAATGCCTCTGGTTAGGATTTCTGAATAAGTCAATACTGATGAACATGTGTTGCAGTCTCTTGAGCAATATGAACCCAACTGAATTTTATTTCAGCCAAATTCTGCATTTTTCAAATAACGTTTTCTTCTGAGATTGCAGGATTATTGACTTTTTCCAAAAGTGTTGGTGAGAAATTGTGCGCTTGTAATCTTGGAGGCACACTGCCAATTATAACTCAGTTGCGTCACATTTCAGTATTACTGTGACATGCTCTGGCTGGCATGGGGGAAATGCTGCATAAATACCCTTTTCTCAACCTTAGGACAATCATAACAGAAGTAATACAAGTTCACCTATAAAGATGCTTCCCCTCCTTATCCTTAAGTTAAACTGCATTGAAAGCTGGTTTGCCAGTAAGAACACACACAGCAAAGACACAATGCAGCACTGCAGTTTTTTGAGATGTGGACTACGGAGCAGGACAAGAGGCTGGAGTGATCATGTTGGGCTGTGAGGTGACAGTGTTAATTTATCAGCAAAATTGATTGGATTTCAAGGAAATAAGTAGACCAGGGGCAATATGTCCAAGTAGTAAAATGCATGTATGTGCTTAATTTGGTAGGTGATGTTTTTGGCTATATTCTTTTTGTCAAGGACCATACAGCCTCTGAGTAACAAACCACATGAATAATGCTGCGCATGTGCAAACAGCTGCTTCACCTAACCCAAAACACACAGAGGTGTGTCTCTGGAGGGAGAGCTGGGACTTAGAAGTCGCTGCATGTTTTATTTATTTATTTATTTTTTAAATATAGATGTATGCTGTTGATTATAAGGGAGAAAGTTGCTAGGTTGGCATTGGTGAGGTGAACTGAGACGTGAGGATTACTGCTGCGAGTGAGAGGGATGTCAAACACCCAAGCTGAGATGCAGCGTACAGTATTCCCACATAAGAAAACAAATTACTTGATTTTTATTTTTTTCCAGTTCATCTAATACCTAACCAATAAATAAAAATAGTTGAATAAAACATCTACATTTTCTCATCC